TGTCCCTGCAAGGCTGGGAGGGAAAAGACCCGCGGCTGGGCCAAGTCAATCTCACTGACCCCAACAGGGGGTTGGGGAGTACAGAAAGTAACCCTGCAGCTTCCTCACACTTCTCCACCCTCCCTTCCCCAGCGGGACACAGGTCTGCATAGAACACACGGCCCATGAGGTGGGGACAGGGGCACAGCCGCCAAGGTCACCTGGTGATCCTTGGCCCCGACCCTCACAGCCAGACGCACCCAGGCGGGAACCACCAGGCGTGTGTCCTTTAGGAGAAAGGTACCTTTGTAAACCCAAGGTATTATTAAGTCCCAAGCTGTGCGGTTGCACAGTCCAGAAGCCACGTCTCCTTGTAAAATTGCAGTGAGCAAACAGACAAAACAAACACGGGCCGGACAGCTCAGCGGGAAGAGTGAAGACTCCCATCCAACATGCCTCCCCGAGGAAGGTGTGAGGCCGCGGCTCTGTGAGCCCAGAGCTGCAGGCGACTCTTAGGAGAGGGTAGAAGAGAGTGAGCGCTGGTGAGGCTGGCCCTGGGTAGGGCTGCTTATCAAAGCAGTTCCAAAGCTGGGCTGTAAGCACAGACACCTTCTTGGAGCGCCAAAGAACAGGGTGTGGAAGGGAGCTGCTGGCCACTTGGAAAAGAAAGGGGTTGTGTGTGTGTAGAGGCATCCTTTTCATCTCCACCCGGAGCAGGAACCCAGATCTTTGCTGCCGAGGGTGGGGAGGGGTGGGGATCTGTGAAGCCGGGCCAGAAAGATCCTATTTTCCTTAGCAGATGCAGACACCTGGCCTCAACTCACCTCTCCCCAGACCCGCCAGCTGCAGCACAAACCTGGCCAGCTTCACCAGCAGCTCCGCAGAGTGGGCCAGACAGGGGAGCCATTTTCTGCAGCAGCCCCAGCTGTGCGCTCGGCCCCACCAGCCAACCCCGCGGCTTCTGGGGGTGGCAGCGAGTAGGCGGCTGCCACCCTCCTTGTCCACGCCTGCCTGGGCCCAGGGTCCAGACGTCCTGGTTTTCCCGCCATGCAGGTTTGTGATGGGAAGCGTTACCGCGTCTGAGTGCAACACGTGAAATGGAGTCTGTGTAAAGCAGAGGATGAGGTTGGCTCTGATGCAGAAAGAGGTGGAGGAGGAAGGCGTGGGTGTGAGCCAGTGTGCTCCTGGCTACCTCTGATGGAAAATGCAAATGTCCCCGGACCAGCGTGACATTTCCTTCGGGAACTGTTCCCACCCTCCCAGAGGCCTCCCTACCTCCCACTAGTGAATGACATCGGCGGCTGGCGGCAGGTGCCTAGGTTTGCAGGTGGCTGCGAAGCTCAGGGCGTGACCCACACCCTTCCATCAACCTGCACAGCAACCTGGCGGGGCAGTCGCAGCCCCTCTGGTGACGAGGACGCTGAATCCGCAGCCGATGCCCCTGACTGCTAGACTGTACTACCCCGGATGGTTAAGGTGGGTGGGCCATGAGAACGGAACCCCACGTGGAAGCCCAGCCAGGGCAAGTGAGGGGACTGTGAGGTCACGGGAAGAGACCAAGAACCAGGTGTCCGCACTGAAGAGAAGGCCGAGAGGACCCCAGTCTGAGGACAGGCCTTGTACCCACAGACAGCTCCGCCTCCTGACCCCTGCTCTGGGACGTTTGCAAGTCCTGCTGCTGTGGGGGGCGTTTCATAGACCGAGATCCTCTGGGGCCATCTGACCCCACCCACTGGCTTTCTAGATGAGGACACTGAGGCGTGGAGCACAAAAGCGACCTGCTCGAGGTTACAAAGGACGCTGGGGACAGAGCTGGCCTCTCACCCAGGTGTCTGAATTCCCAATCCCGGTGCGTCCGTGTTTCTATGTAGCCTGGGTGAAGGTCCAGGAGACACCCTTCCCTGGGAAAGAGAACCCCCTGCTACTGCCACTGGAGAAGCGAGGGGTGAGAGAGGGAGCATGGGAGTGGGGCCGAGGCTCTCAGCATGGCGGCCGGCTCCCCACCTCTGCCTGCAGCAGCTCTTCCTTTGCCCAGCCGTGCAGAGGGCAGGAAGCCCCACGCGCAGTCTTAGGGTTCCGAGATGGCGGGAATGACCTTCCCGGCCGGGCCCTGGTTCCCACTTTACAGCTGGCCGCACTTGTGTTTCCTATCACTTTGACACAGATGTTTTCCCTCTCAACCATTTTTTTTTGGGGGGGGTAGGGGTTGGGGGAGTCTGAAGGAAATTCAGAAAGACCCAAAATAAAATAGGGCTGGGAGGTTTGGATCCGAGGGCGCTGGACAAACAAGAGTGATTGCCGGTTTGGCTGTGGCACTGTCACACGTCCCACTTGGGGAGGCAGGCTGCCCCGGCTCAGCTGGAATGAGCATCCCACAGGATGAGGGGGCCCAGGGAGAGCTGCCACCCCTCACACTCATGCCTGCCCTCCCCTCGAGGCTGGCTTCTCCCTGGACCCCTGCCAGGCACTCTCTCAGCAGCCTCCGAATGGGAGGTGCTCGTCGCCCAGGGCCTCACAGCTCCAGCTCTGTAAGACCCACATCAGGTTCCCGATGCCAAGTTTATACATTCGTGGTCTCAAGAGGGAAAGGGAAGTGGCGACACCATAATGACCCAAGCAGCCCCTTAGATTACAGCGTCCTTAGGTACTTCTGGGAGCTTCACCTGCTCCCACCCAGCCGCCAGACCAGCCGGGCCACTTACCTCTGACACTATCTTGCCTGTGACCCTGGCTAAGTCACTTAACCTCTCTGGGCAGCAGTTTCCTGACCATCAGTAAAATGAAGACGATGCTCCCTGCTCCGGCCATATCATGGGACATGGGAAAGAAAGGGCTTTGCAAACTAAAACTCCGCACGAGGGGCCGCAGTATCCCTTCAGTCCACCATCTCTTAGGGGCCGAGGGCTTCCTCTCTTCAGGGACCCTCGCACAGGACCACTCAACAGTGACCAAGGCAAACATGTGGCCACTGCTTTTCTTCTTATCCAGGATGGAGACCAGGAGAACGGAACGGAGGAAGGACCCCGAGGGTTAGAGTGTGGGTTTTCTGGGACCCCGGGCACATCGCTCCTTTCTCGGTCCTCCGCGTCCTCGCTGTGTATAATACGAGGGCTGGCCTGACTCCCACAGTGCTCCAACTCCAAGCCCAGGATTCCCAGTCATTTCTGTTTCAGACCATACAGCCAAGCAGCAGCACCTCGCCCAGGCAGGGGAGCTCTGAACTGAGTGGAGTGGCGGGCTGGAGACACTGTCGACAGATTGCAGGCCAGCGGGCGAGAGACCGCCAGATACTGGGGTGGCCCCAGGAGTTTCCCGTCAGCCTCCGACATCTGCCATGGGGCAGATGGGGCAACGGAGGCACGCTGGCAGTCTGTGGTGCCTCTCAGTCCCAGGCCCTGATGCCGTTTAGGCTGACAGCAGAGGACTAATGGACACACTGCAGGGAGAGGAAAACTCCCCAAAGGAGAAGGGTGGGGTGGGGCGGGGCCGCCCGCCTTCTGACATTCTTCTCTGGTGCCAGGGGTTTGTGGGAGGAAGCCAAGCCTGGCAGCTGGCTGCTGGGGCTGCTGGGAGCACCCAGAGGAGGGGGTGCCCGCAGGCAGGGTCTCCCTAAAGCAGGTCAATGGGTGTGCAGGGTACACCTCTGTGCTGTCCTCACCAGCCGTGTGCGTGGGGTGTGGTGACTCCTGCAAGGGCAGGTCAGTCTCTGCTGTCTGGGAACAACTCTCAGGCCACCCTTGTGCTCCAGGGAGGGGATGAGCTCACACGAGACTGGGCGAGGTCCTCAGGGACCCCAGTGACCAGCACCAAGGGAGTAAGCACATTTTTTGGTCACCTCTGGAGGCAGCACTTGTCTCCAAGGCCCTCTCTCTCGAGGGTGGTACAGCCTGCCTTTCTGAAGGCTTCCAGCTTACAGGGGTAACATTTTCCATCTATGCCCTGGAGCAGCGGCCCTCAGAGCCAGGACTCCTTGCTCTGTCCCTGGGTGGTCCCTTAGCCCCACAGGAAGGTACAGAGCAGACACTCCTTGTCTGCTGTCTCCCTCCAGTTTCCCAGTGTGGAGGAGGCAAAGCGTGGACGACACCCATGGTGTCCCTGGAGTTCTCGCCCTGACGCCCTCTCCAGGTAAACCTCCATTTCTGCTGCCACCTGGCCCTTGGGTGGGATGGCCCGGAGGGGTGAGGCGCACGCCCTCCCGGGCAAGCAGCAGGAGGCCAGCACCTGATCTGTCCCGGAAATGCAGAAACACAGGGCTCATCCCACTACAGGCGTCGATAGGCATCTGCCCACCTCCTCCTTTCCCCAGCTCTCCCAGAGTTCTCTCCAGTTAAGATACTTATCGCACTTGAAAAAACAATCAAGACAAGCTAGTTTTTCAGGTAACTTCGAGAGAGCTCGGACTTTCTCACGGCGTCTCAGAATCATTGAGAGAATGGGGGCAACTGCGAGGCTCGAGGGTGGGGGTCCCCGGCTCAGGTCCCCGGGGACGGACCTCCACTCAGCAGCTGGGGCACCCCTTCTCCGCCGGTGTGAAAATGCGAACGGCTGGGCTCCCCCTGCGGGAGCGCCACTCCTTGCGCCCCTGCCACTGTGAGACCCCCGACCCGGTCACCAGCTGCACTGCGCGCCACGTCCTCACTGGCCAGGGCCCTGCGTTTCTCTACTTCCCCCTGCCGCCTTCTCCCCCTGCACTCGTCGGAGCTTCGGGTGGGAGTGAACCCAAATCCCAGCCCGAATCCTCAGCGAAGGAGAGGACAGGACTGGTCTGCGCGCCCCGCTCTCCAGGGTCGCCGGCTTCCCCCACCTACTCCACCTCGGACCGGCCCCACGGAGCTGCGGGTCCCGCCCGCCTCCGGACCGGCCGAGGAGCGGCTGGCAGCGGCAGTGCCGGCTCTCCTCCCGCCCTGAGTCCACCCGGGGAGGGCAGTGCCAGCTGCCTGGGCACCCCGGGCCGCGGAGAGTGTCGGGGGATCGGGAACAGGTGGTGCCGAGCGGCGCGCGCGCCGGCTGCGCTCACTCACCCAGAAGATGAAGTTAAATCCGAAGAGCAGGTATTTGATGCACTTGGTGCCTCCCTTGACCGGCATGGTGCGGGCTGGACTGGCCGGGGCCGGACTCGTGTAGGACTCGGGACGCGCGCGGCGGGGACTGGCGAGAGCCGGCGCTGGACAGACGTGCCGGTGGCTGCAGGCTGGCCTCGGGCTGCACTTTTAAAAAGTGCCACTCCTACGCACCTGCCCCGCCCACGCCCCGCGGCCGGCCCGGCCCAGGTTCCGAGGGAGTCCCGCCCGGCCGCCGCGCCGAGCCCGCCCCTCTCTCCTCCTCCCTCCTGCTCGGCCTCTGCCAGCGAGGTGTCCCGATCCTTCCCACCATCTCCGTCCTTTCTGCCCTTTCCCATCCAACCGTCCTGGGGTCTCTCCAGGCCGCCACCCGCTGCCCTTTTTACCCAGGCGTTGTATGGAGGCCTGGTCCTTTTGGCTCTCGCTGGTTGGATCTGGGCTCGCAGTGGAGACCTTCCCTAGGGATTTGGGCTCCAGGCCCCCTACCCCAGGTCGGCTGCCAGATCAAGGGCTCCTGCCCTGCCCTTGGGTGGAAGGGAAGCCACCGATGGCATTTCTCCCTCGGGCGTGTCCCTGCAGCCTCCCCTGAACTGCTCCTCGGGCACAGTGTGTGCAGTAGGACTGAGAATCGGCCCACGAGGAGACCCGAGGAGACCCGGAGGCCCCTGGCAGGAGTTACCAAACACCTTCACCCAGGAGCAACCCGGAGAGGACCGGCAGTCCCTAAGCACTTCCTGAACTTGTGGCTTAATGCTCCCCAAGGGGAAGGCAACACCCTCAGTTTTCTTCCCTTTACCCCGACCCAAGCCTTTCTCTTGAGCCTAGCCCTTACACGTGCTCACTGCCGCCTTAGGAATGTTCCAGATGCTGGGCGCTGAACGTTTCGCCGCTGCTCAGACACCTCCTAGAGCTCAGTATAATCTACGAGACCCTCCATCGTGTGCTCATGGCCGGGTGGAGAACACTCCTGAGGGCCACCCGGCCTGGCTTCTCCCCTGCTCGCGTTGGCACGGGCTCCCCTCTGCAGGCGCTGTGTGCCCTGGCCGAGTCTAGCCCTCCAGCCTCCAATTACAGAAATGCTGTCGTGGGGACCAGCAGGTGGCGGGATAGTTAAGGTGCTGGACTCTCAGGGTGCTGACCTTGGTTGGAGTCCTGGACTTGGCGGCTTGCTTTTTCATGGTCCCTCTCTGCCTCTCTCTAGTGAGCACATGTGCCCTATAGCAAATTAAAAGGTTGTAATAATACTAAAATCAAGAATAAATAATTCTTAAAATAAAAGAATGCTGTGGCTTTGGAGGCACCATGGCCTAGTGATTAAAAGAGCCAGGTGGGTAGTGGTTATGGCGCTGGACTCTCACATGTCCAGCCACAGTTCAAGTGCTGGACCCAGTGGCTAGAAAAATCAATGTGTGTGTGCCGGAAATCCCAGGAGGAGAATGGTGGAGAGGTTTTATGGTGTGGCCATCCCTCACGGGGGACAACTCCTCATTCTCCCTTCTGATTGCCTCTCTCTGTCTCTTTCCAGTGAGCACAAGTACCCTATGGCAAAAAACCTTAAAGACAAAAAAGAGCCAGATCCCACAGGGCCCACAGAGATTTGAATCCCAACCCTGGCGGCCTGAAAAGCAGTCAGGGCATGGGTGCCTCAGGTTCTGTCAGGATGGAGGTGTGGAGGAGAAGGATTGCAGCGTGAATCTGCCCCTCGGAGGGTGCTTTCTCACGCTCCCTCTTTGCTCTGTTTCCTCGGCTTGCTCTGGTGAGCTCATGTGTCCTCTGGCAATTAAAAAAAAATTCTGGGGACCAGCAGGGGGCATGGTGGTTAAGGCACTGGACACTCCCACATGGCTGACCGTGGTTCGAATACCGGACCTGGTGGCTTGCTTTCTCACTTTCCCTCTCTCTCTGTGTGTGTGTATCTCTCTCTGGTCAAATTAAAAGAAATGAATGAATGAATAAAATTAAATAAATAATTATTTTTTAAAAATCCATCTTTTCTTTTTATGCTGTAGATTGTGTGTGTTTGTTGGAGACAGACAAAAGACAGAGAGGGAAGTGCCCCAGAGGGGATGGCCACCATAATCCTTCCGTTTTCCTCTTGGGATTTTGGGCACACGTGTGCGCGCACCTGATGGGTTTTTCAAACGTTGGTTTTAGGACTCAGACGCGCGATCAGCCGTGTGGAATCCAGCTGCCTGAACCTGCACGCCACCTGCTGACCCAGAAATCTTGTGGCATCGTCAACACGCCTTTCCTGGTTCTCACGGCTAGATGAGGAGAGTGCCCTTTCTCTGAAGCCCCAAGCCCGGGACATTTCTTCCCACATGCAGTTTCCTTTCGTGTGCTTTATTATTATGGAAGCGACACATGCTCATTACAGAAACATTGGAAAATACCAAGAAGCAAAAAAGGACATAACTGCGTATTTCACTCACCAGAAACGGCCCCTGCTGGCACGGGCAGCTCTCAGTCGGCTCTGTTTGTTATCCTTAGACCTGCCTCGTTGACTGATTCACTCATTTCTTCAAAAACATTTGCTCAGTGTCTACTGTATGAGGGCATTTCAGTAGGGGCCAGAGTTGAAAAGACACATGTTAGATCCCGTTTCTGCCCTCCAGAAGCTGAGTCCGAAGGGGAAGGGAGATGGACAGATGGATGCTGGCTTGGGGTGATGCGTGGGGTTACAGAGACAGGCTTGGGGGCACCGGGCGCTCACAGAAGGGGGCTCTGGCCCAAATGGCGAGTGATGCTTTGGGACACAGGGAAAGCTGCCGCCACGCGGGAATCTGGAGTAGTTGGTGGCAAACCCAATTGCAATGAGGAAAGCCCTGTGGCCAGACTTGGGTTCGAGTCCCCGAGTTGGTCTGAGGAACTAGGTAGCTGGGGAAAGTGGATTGTGGTGCAGTGAGCCCCGGGCGAAGGTGCTTCTCTCTCTTTCATGTACACGTTCTCTATCGTGAATAGAAGGACTTTTAAAATCTGGGCAAGGCCCGGGGCTCGCACAGTAGCACCTGACTTGGGAAGGCAGAGACCGTGGGCAAGGGAATGTGTGGGGAGGGGACGGTAAGGAAGAGCACCGAGGGGGAGGGGCCCCCCCCGAGAGGTTCCAGCAGGGGAATGCCAAGGCCGTGTTTCAGGGGGATCCCCACCTGTATTCCAGGTAGCTGAGTGGAGTCGGGGGTTGGAGGAGCACCAGGAGGGGCAGGTAGAAAGCTCCTCAAGGGTCAGACCGTTGCCCTTCCAGGTCTTGGCTCAGAGCTTTGGGGAACGGACAGGAAGTCAGGATGTGCATTTGGGAGGTGCCTGGGTAACTGGAGACTAGCCGCATGAAAGGTGAGCTGCAGACCAGGTTAGACCTGTTGGGACACTGCTGACTAGTCAGGTGACAGACAAAGACATGGGAGTGGGGGTGGGGCTGCAGGACAGAGTCTGGAGGAGGCAGAAGCCTGGGAGAGGACCAGGTGGGATGGGGCAGGGGCGGGCAGCCAGAGATGGCAGTCGGCGGCAGAAGCAGAGTGCGGAGGCAGAATATGCATTGGTTCCTCGACTGCCACGTGTCACACGCTGTGCTGGAGGGGCCCAAGATGAGACAACCTCTTTCCAGGGATAAAGCACAATGGAGAATGTCGGGCAGGGCAGAGAGACCCATTACAGACAAGTACAGACCCATGGCGTCTCCTCGGGGAGATGCGGCCTGGGAACAAGTGGGGCTCCTGGACCATCCCCGGGTTGGCCTGAGTCTGGGGGGTGTCTCCATAGTGAGAAGGGGCGCCAGAGCTGCAGACTCGGCAGGCAGGCAGTAACCAAGGCCGAGGAGGGAATGCAGGCGGGGGAACCTCACATGGAAAAGCCCAGGAGCGAGACTGCAGGCTTCGAGGATGGCTCCAACCAGACAGTGTGTGAAGAACGGAGTTGGGTGGGCGATGGGTACACAGACCATGCCCCCATGGTGTTGCTCCCCCACAGAGTCCATCCATCTTAGGAGAACATGTCTAAAGAAAAAAAGATTCTGGGACCAGCAGTTAGCATAGTGGCTATGTCACTGGACTCTCATGTAGTCGACCGTGGTTCGCGTCCTGGACCTGGTGGCTTAAACTCACACGGGGCGCGTGTGTGCGTGCGTGCCTAAGATCCCGAGTGGAGAATGGAGGAAGAAGGGATTGCAGCGTGGCCATCCCCCCTGGGGGGTGATTTCTTGCTTTCTGTCTCTATGTCTCTCTCTGTCTGTCTGGCAAGCACAAGTGCCCTATAGCAAAAACCTCTCCAAAAAAAAAAAGAAAAGAAAAGAAAAAGAGATTCTATCTCTCTGTACCCCCCTCCAGTTACCAAGTATGGTAGGAGGGGTTCAGGAAATATTTAAGCTTAGAGCAGAAACTACTTTCTCGGGGAGTCATGAGTCACGAATGTCCTTAGGGAGGCCTGGTACGGTGCCTGCCACACACGTGCTCAAGAATGCGGCCTAGTGATACCGTGACTATCGGGGCTGCCGCTGCATGTCATGTGGTGTGAGCGCTGGCCTGGAGTGAGGAGATCCGGGTTCTATTCTTGGCTCAGCCAGGCTCTTAGATCTATTTCGGGCACATCATCCCCTCTATCTGGGTCTCCATCGCCTCACCTGTGCAATAAAGATTTTAAACTAGCAGATGACAAAAGTCTCCTCCACCCTCACATCTATGGTGCAATGAGTCTCTGGGCCAAAGTGTGTTTATTACAGACAGCGAGTGCCTCAGGCCACCGGGAAAGGGAGCGATGGAAAAAATATGGTTTGTGTTAGCTGGGAAAGGAAAATCTGGGTAAGCCCCTGAGTCACAGATCACATGGAGGCAGCCAGGCCTTCCAGGCTTTGTGAAGCTTGAGTGGGAAAACTTCCTCCTATCCCTCCAGCATCCTGTTTCTGGAAAAACCCCTGCTCAGGCTCCGGCTCAGGCTCAGGGGTTCCCATTGGCTCTCAGGCTCCCCCTGGTGGTAAGATTGGAACCTGCAGGAGCTGGGCAGGCTAGCAATGGGTCTAGGACCCCTCTGGACGTCGGCTCTCCCCTTCTGCAGAGGGCACTGGCTTTAGGAAGTACAGGCAGAACCCACACTCTCACAGGCCCCAAGGCCCTCACCATCACTGTGCCAGCGACTGTCTTGATGCACCTCCTTCTCTTCTAGAAGCTTCTTTGCTGCTC